TATTCTATTCTATTCCATTCATTCTATTCTATTCTATCATTCTGTTCTATTCTATTCTATTCCATTCATTCTATTCTATTCCATTTTGGTTTAAAATAATCACAATTTAGATTTCTAGGTGAAATCCCTCCTTTCAATAAGCAGGTTTAACAAATTATTTAAATAAAACTTTACAACAACACTAAGAAGATCAAAGTGCTTCACTGAAGGATAAAAATATTGCAAAAAAAAAAATAAATAAATAAATAAAATCCTAATCCTAAAACAATGTGTCCTAAGTATTAAAAGACAGTTAAAAAAAATGAGTTTTTAATCTGGATTTAAAAGGCTCAGATCAGTGAGAACCTGCAGACCGTTTAGTTTAGGAGCCGTAACCACAAAGGAACGATGGCCCCACTGGTTATACTGGAACCATTTGATCAGCAGACTGGAGAACTCTGCTGGGGCGGTGTCAACGTCTCAGTTAGATATAACAGAGCCAGACCATGAAGGGTGTTAAAACTTTAAAATCAATCTAGAGACGGAGCCAGAGAGGATGGAGAGAATGGAGATGATGGAGAGGATGGAGATGATGGAGTGATGGAGATGATGGAGTGATGGAGATGATGGAGAGGATGGAGAGGGTGTAGAGGATGGAGTGATGTGGCTTTGAGAGGAGACCAGCTGCTGCTTCCTGTTCTACTGTAACACTGGGAGGCCAGAATAGAGGCGCTGCTGCAGTCAAACCCAGAACTAATAAATCCATGGGTCGCCTGTTTATCCTGAGGTTAAAACTCTGAGTTTCTGGTTTCATCAAAGCTGCTGTGAGTTACTTTAATAAACTCTGAGCAGGTTCTTTCAGAAACAGAGTAAACTCTCAGGAGGATCTGAATCCTTCAGTCTGCCTCTGGGACCGAATCCCATCATAGACCATCTCTCTCTGTCTTGCAGGTGACGCCATCTTGGACGCCGTGTCACAGGACCTTATTGCTCCAGCTTCTGACTCGCTGACTCCTGAGCTGATGCTGCAGGATGCCCCTCCCCCTCCACCCAAACCCAGGGGTCCTCAGACGGACGCGCTGCGTCCTCACATGCACTTCCTGCTGTCTCTGCTGTCTCTGCATCGCCTGGACGCCAGCAGCAGCGGTGTGGAGGCTCTGTGTTGGCCTGCTGAGGGGGGCGGGGCCTCTGCGGTGGCAGAAACTCTCTGCGTCCTCCTGGATTCCGTGGTAACCGTCTTCAAGGAGCCCCCGGCTCTGGGGCTGGCCGACCCGGCGCCGCAGGCCTGCCAGGTGGCATCCAGAGCCTTGGACCTCCTCTGCTCGCTGAGGCGGCCATCTGTGGACTTCATGAGACGTGTGGAAGAGGCGATGAGGGAGCTGACTCAGATGCTGCTTCACAGCAAACATCCCAGCAGGGTGAGTAATGTTTGCACGCATCAGATGCCTCCTAACGACCGTCGCTGTGGAGGACCAGAGCACAGCAGATGGTCCTGATGAGCTGAGGGCATCAGCTGAGGGTCACAGACCAACGCTGGGATGGAGGGAAGGCCTTAAAGCCTCGTTTCTCTTGTTTCTGAAAATTCCTTCATTGTTTTCCTTTTTTATTTACAGTCTTTAAAAACAGTCAGAGAAAAAAGGTCCGACCCAGAAGGACATGAGGAATGTGATTCGGTCCTGAAGGGTTCTGGTTCTGCTGGATAACCTGGATCAGCAGCTGTCTGAAAACTAAAAAAATCTGTCATTATTTTCTTAAAATAACTGCATTTCTCTTGGTTTAAGGAGATAAAAGTACCATTTTAAAAACTATTCTTTCTAAAACATTTTTAAAAAGTATAAAAGTAATAGTAATGCAGGAAAAAATTTAAGGACAGATGCTTTAAACCTGATACTGCACTGCAAAAATGACCTCAAAATGAGTAAAAATGTCTTAAATTAGGGGTATTTACCCTTAATTTGAGCAGGTAAATAAGATGGTTTGCCAATGGAATGAGTATTTTTACTCTTAAAATACGGTATCTAGACATTATGCACTTGAAATAAGACAATGCAGTTGTTTTTTTTCTTTTTTTAAGTGTAAATTGTCTTGTTCCATTGGCAAAGTATCTTACTTAAATCCTTAATTCAAGAAAAAATGCACTTATTTTAAGAAAAAATGACTTATTTAGATTTCATTTTTTTGCAGTGTGGTTACTGAACTAACTTACGACCGTACAATTCTTCAAAACTAAGGCTGTGTCCGACCGTCCGCCGTGACCCCTAAACCCCTCCATCACTATATAGTGAACTCAGTTCACTGACAGTTCGGATAGATCAGGACTGCTTTTTGCTCCCTGTTGGTCACATTACTAGGGCCTTATAATTTCACGGAAATCACGGACAGAATCGCGGAATTGGCAAATTAATGCGGAATCTAGTGTAAATGCATAATTTCTACATTTGAAATTAAATTCTGTTTATGTGTGGGAAAAGAACGTACGTCTGGGGGAAATGCACACTGGGAGACGCAAATCTAGGCGACGCGACCCCTCCCGCTCCGTCATTTCCGCTCACCCTTCCCCATCAAAACATTGAAAAAATGGCGAAGCGACTCTCCACAGCTCCGCTTTCGGCGAAAAAGTTGAGAAACACGACGCTAAGCCCTGAGTACAGAGCCGAGCAGTTCCCTCGTGACTTTTACGTGTCAGGTGAACTATTGTTTTGCAAGTTTTGTTAACATTCCATTGATTGGAAGCGCAAAATACATACATAAAACAGAAAAAACGGAATTTTAAAAAATTAAGGAAAAAACTGAATTTGGGAAAAAATAAAATGGATTTTATAGGGCCCTACATTACTCCTCCTCGCGATCCTGGGGCCGTCTCTGTGATTAGTCACCGCTGTCGGGTAGCGGCAGTCTATGGCAGGCTGCCGTGACAGCAAATCCCAAAATGCTTTGCAAGGAGAGCTCTTTGCGCAAAGCATTCTGGGATATATCTGCCTCTTTAAAGGCGTTGTACACCTCAGAAGCTCATGAGGTGCTGCGTAGGGGTGTAAATAATAATCGTTTTGTATCGATGCATCAATCAAACAGCCGACGATCCGATGCATCGATACGTCCGCAAGAGAATCGATTCATGTTTT